AGAAAAGACCAAGATAGGACTAAAAACAGTGGATTGTGTGTTTATTGGTTATGCTCAGAATAGTAGTGCATATCGGTTTTTGACTTATAAATCAGAAATGCCTAATATAAATGTAAACACTATTATAGAGTCGAGGAATGCTATGTTTTTCAAACATGTCTTTCCTTATAAGAAATGATAGGAATTAAGAAAAGAACTTATAATTGTACACAAAGTCAAGAGACTAATGACAATCAAACACAAGAGACTAGTAATGGTCTCGACCAGCATGATTTAACTGATGATGAACCAAGACAAAGTAAGAGAGCAAAAACATCCAAATCCTTTGGTCTAGATTTTCTAACATACTTGTTAGAAAATGAACCTCAAAGCTTTAAGGAAGCAATGACAGGTCTTGAGACACCTTTGTGGAAAGAGGCTATTAATAATGAAATTAAATCCATTGGGCAAAATCATACTTAGGAATTGGTGGATCTTCCACTCGGTTCTAAACCTTTTGGATATAAATGGATATTCAAGAGAAAAATGAAAGCAAATGGTTCAATAGACAAGTATAAAGCAAGACTTGTGGTAAAAGGTTACAGACAAAAGAAAGGTCCGAACTATTTTGACACATATTCCCCTGTGATAAGAATAACATCCATTCGCATGCTTATTGTTATAGTAGCGTTGTATAATTTAGAAATACATCAAATGGATGTTAAGATAGCTTTCTTAAACGGTGAACTAAATGAAAAGATCTATATGGAGCAACCCGACGGAGTTGTATTACCAAAGCAACAAAAGAAAGTTTGTCGGCTTGTAAAATCTCTTTATGGATTAAAACAAACTCCTAAGCAATAGCATGAAAAAATTGATCATGCTATGCTTACTAATGGGTTTAAGATAAACGAATGTGATAAGTGCGTCTATGTTAAAAACACTGACTAAGGATATGTCATAGTTTGTCTTTATGTGGATGACATGCTTATTATTGGAATCAGTCAAAACATGATCAAATCAACTAAGCAAATACTGAATAGAAGATTTGATATGAAAGATATGAGGGTCGTAGATGTAATATTAGGAATGAAAATTACTAAAACATCTGACGGATATGCATTATCTTAATCACATTATATTGAGAAAATTTTTGATAAATTTATTAAGGATAATATGAATGTAGCTAGAACACCTGTAGACATCAATCTTTATTTATCGAAAAATAAAGGTGATGCAATGTCTCAGTTAAAATACTCCAAAATCATTGGAAGCCTAATGTACCTGATGAATTATACTTGTCCTGATATAGCTTATGCTGTCAGTAAATTGAGTAGGTACACTAGTAAACCCGGAGAAGATCATTGGAAAGCGATCATTCGGGTTCTTAGATACCTAAGATTTATCCGTGATCATGGTTTGAACTTTACTCGATATCTTGCAGAACTAGAAGGTTATTGTGATGCCAATTGGATATCAGATATTAAAGATTCAAAATCCACTAGTGGATATGTCTTTACTCTGGGAGACACTGCTATTTTTTAGAAATCCACGTAACAAACATGCATCGCACGATCCACAATGGAATCTGAGTTCATTGCTTTAGACAAAGCATGAGAAAAAGTAGAATGGCTTTGCCACTTCTTAGAAGATATTTCAATGTGGCCAAAACTTGTGCCAGCTATTTGCATTCATTGTGATACTCAATCTGCAATAGGCAGGGCACAGAGTCATATGTACAATGGTAAGTTACGACATATTCATCGTCAACATAATATCGTAAGACAATTTCTCTCAAATGGAATAATCTCAATAGATTATATAAAATCTAAAGAGAATATTGCAGATCTGTTAACAAAAGGTTTGATTAAAGAGCAAGTGTATAGTTCATCGAAGATGATGGGATTAAAGCCTATTACATAAGAATCATCATAATGGTAACCCTACTTATATGACTGAAGATCCCAAGAACTAAGTTTAAAGGGACAACTAAGTTATGTGTGGCTCACCAGAAGTGACCAAGGGATTTAAAATTCCTTACTCATTCCTATGGTGAGAGTAATATATGCAACATGTGTTGTATGCAGGGGTTTAAGGATAAGCTTTGTTTTTAATGATTACTTATATCTTGATTTAGGCATAAAAATCAAGACGAGTATAAGGAGATACTCACAATAAGAATCACCTATATGAGTGTCGAGTTGGAGCTGGTTCTATCAGAATGAAGAGGCAAAATTTTCCAGAAGCACTCACAAACAACTAGGAGCGTTCAAGGCCAAAATGAACACAACCGTAAGAACCACAATGTGTTAGAAGATATTTTGTGCGAAATCTATTGTCTTGGATTACATAAACGACTGAATAATTCAAGGCATTGCGTCCATTGGTTAGCTAGTAAGTCTGATAGGTTATCACTAGGGAAGGTTCAAGGCCGAAAGCTACCTATCCTGATGCAAGATATTTTCGATTTATACTTTTTTGACAAATTTTACATATTGCTGTATTTTCGTTTTCATCAAATTCCATTCATGTAGGGGATTGTTAGAAATAGTTGTGGGAAAAAAAAATAGATTTTTTCTAAATTTTGGTCTAATTTTTAGGAGGGACTCATGCGCCAAAGTTGGCAGGTCTAAGTGGTAACGCGTTCTATGCTACGTTGTGATTCACGTAGTATATTTGGTTGCTCAAAATCATTATCAGGTGAATGGGAAATTAAAGCCAAAGAGAGCTCCATCGAAATAATGTTTTCGGTGAAATTTCCTTAAAGATTTGGTTTAAGGCTTGTCCCACATTGGTTGGGTAGGCAAACTTTTGTGGGTTTATAAAGCTTGGATTTGTAACTTGGGGAGGGCCCCAAGGGTACCCAAGTTTTGTGGAAGGATGAGATTATGGGCAAAGTAGGCTAGACCTATTGGACCCAAAAATAGACACACATGCGTGCCGCCGTCGTCCGTCCGGTGGGCTGGGCTGGGGTGGGCTGGGCTTGGGCACGGGTGTGTGGTGTGAGGTTGGGTTAGGTTTGTCCGACCTAATACTAATTATTTTTGGGCCAAAAATATTTGAATTTTATTTTTCTAAAATTAAATTCTAATTTTTGGAATTTAAATTTCAGAAATTAAATTCAAAAAATTGGTTGTCACACCTGTCCAGTTTGTTCCCCACCAGAACAAATGCATATCTATTTGAATTTAAACCAAACAGATTCAATATATGTTTGAAATTTAAACCCAACAGGTTCCTTACCTGTTTATTCAAACCGAACATGTATTATACCTATTCAAACAGGTTTGCACCTGTTTAATTCAAACTAAACAGCCACAAATTCTCCTATAAACAGATAGACCCTTATTTGGATTTTGCACTCTAATTTTCGTTCTTGTTGTTGTCATTGCTCTCTGCATTTTGCTGTATTTATTGTTTTGTGAGAAAGTGTATAAAAACAAAGTGTGTTCGTTGTGCAAACAGTTTGTAGTGCTGCTATTGTTTGTTGTTGATCATTTTATTCTGAGAGATAGACGTTCACAATCTGAAAAGTATCGTAGAGAGGACGAATCTGTTTTAAGGACACAGTGTTAAACACTAGACTTAATCAGAATTTTGTTTAATAAATACATAACGTTAGTAATTAATTTACTTTCTGTTTTATTTATTTATTTTTATCAAATTCTAATTTTGTTTTTGTAACAAAATAAGAATCTGTTATTGTTTTATTTTATTTTCTTTATTAGTTTGATTTTTGTAATCAAACAGTCTCTCTCATTTCTTTATTTCTTTCGTTTGTTGTTAAGTACACAAATATTATTTATTCTTAATATAGTGAAAATTGTCCAACAAATATTATATTAATTATATTTATATATCATATTTTATTTTACCAGCGCAATGTGTAACTAGAAACTACAACATTTGTAACCAATGCAATGTTGGTATATGTGATAATAATGAAGTCTGATACATAAATTTAATTATCATAATATCATTTTTTTTTATTAAATATATATGATTCATTATGTTTACTTTTGAGTTTTAAAAAATTATTTTAATTTTTGATAATCTTTTAAATATATTTTAATAATTTTTTAATTTTTTAAATTCACTTAATCTAAATATATTTACAAAATATTTTTTTAAATATATATTATACATCTAAAATGTAAAAAATATATTTAAAATATATTTAAAATATTATACATCTAAAATGTAAAAAATATATTTAAAATATTAAAAAAATCACTAAAAACAAAAAAAATACAATATATATATACACATACATATTTTACGGGTTGTATATATATATTTTTTTGATCAGCAAAAAAGAACCTTTATTGATGAAAAATCATACAAGAGATGAGATTACATCAAATAAAGGGAAGGAATTTGGTGAGGAACCAAACCTGAAAGGAAGAGGATCAAAACAGAACAGAAAAACTAAACAGTACAAGCACAACACACACAGCAGTAGGAAGGCCTACTATTGCATACAAGAACCTAAGCCAAAAACAATTCAACATGCAAGCTTAACCCTTTGCCATCAGCCCAGAATTACACAGCAGATTCAACCATAGCATATTAGCAAACCTTAGTTTAGCAGCCCAGAGTCCCCCAGCAGACCACCAATAGACCAGCAGATCCAAACAATGTAACAACAGACTACCAGCAGACCAGCAACATAGCAAATCAGATAAACAGCACCATAGCAGAACACCATATCAGAACACCAACCAGGACTTATACTTTTGCAGCCAATATCAAGTCAGAATAGCTACTGTTTGTGGAATTGCTGCAACCTAACTAATCAAAACCTCAGAAGCTTGATGGCTATTGCACAAGCACACACTGATGATCCTACAAGTACACAAATACACTGATGATCCTTCCCACTATTAGATCCTTCTCATATCACAACCTCAATATCTTGATCCTTCTCATTCTGCAAACTCAGTAGAATTTAGTGAGCTTCTGTTTTGAACTCCAGTCAATAACCCAGCACATTAAAATGCACCATACTAGAACAAAAACCTTCACCCTCCATTCTTGATATAATATTTCACCTGAGGCAGATTAAAGACCAAATCATTAATGGAGAAATCAACCTGGATTTTCGATGCTTTGAACCACATAGCAACTCTAACCTTCACTAAATCACACAAAGCTTCCAGATTTGGTTGAAAGCCATCGAAGACACACTCATTTCTGTGCTTCCATGTGGACCAAAGAGTGGCCAAAGGGATGGCCATCCAGATTTTCTTCTCCAGCCTCTGCATCACACATCCGGACCACCATTCCAGCAACCCATGCACAGATCCTGGAATCACCCACTGCAATCCCCACCAACAAATAATATCTGACCAAAGCCGCCACACAAAAGGGCAGTGGAGCAAAATATGTTCCACAGATTCAACCTCAATATGACAAAAAACACAGCCAAGGTTTACATTACCTGTGAGAATTCCAATTCTATGAAGAAAATAAGAGGTTTTAACCTTACCAAGCCAAGCTAACCACCCGAAAAATTGCACTTTTGGAGGCGCAAAGTTGTTCCAAATTGAGGCAGCCATTGGAATTGCAGATCCCAGAAAAGATTCAGTCTATTTATAAATTGATGAAACAGAAAAGAGCTTAGAAGGGTCTGCACACCAAAGAAGCTCATCAGGTTTGGTACTACACAGTATTGGTGCAGAGCTAAGCAAATAGGATAATCTATATGCTTCTTCCTCCTCCCAAGCCATCAAAGATCTTCTAAATCCCAGGTTCCATCCACCATCCTCTGCCCTTCTTTTGAAAAACACACTAACCACACCATCTTTATCATTAGATAATAAGAAAAGCCTTGGAAATTCATCCATTAAGCAAGCATTACCCACCCACTTGTCCCTCCAAAAAAGAACTCTTCTCCCAACCCCCCGAACTATCTTAGAATTATTCATATAGAACTGATGCAGCTCTGGATTGGAATGAACAGCATGAATTATATCAGTCCAGAGTTTTGAACCTCTACCAAACAGTTTTGGGAACCATCTTCCATCCACTGGCACATATTTTGCACAAATCACTTCCTTCCAAAGCGATTGATTCTCCACACCAAATCTCCACCACCATTTTAATAGTAAACATTGATTCAAAGTTATAATCCTCCTCACACCTAACCCAACTAATTTCTTATTTTTAGTAATTACCTCCCACCGGACCATGTGAACTTTTCTTCTAAGATCAGAGCCACCCCAAAGAAAAATTGATTGCAATCTCTCAATCTCCTTAGCCACTCCAGCCGGAATTTTGAACAAAGATATATAATAGATTGGTAAAGAGGACAATACAGATTTGATTAAAGTTAGGCGCCCGGCAAAGGATAACAGCCTTCTCTTCCATGTGGACAATTTCTGTTTGAACTTGTCAAGAACGGGTTTCCAGGTGCTCCTCCTGCTAGGATTTTCCCCCAAAGGTAGTCCCAAATATTTGAGAGGCAACTTTTGGTGAAGACAATTTAAAGAGAAGGCAAACTCCTGGACTAATTCCTCATCCACCCCAACCCCACAGATGACACTCTTGTGGTAGTTAATTTTCAGACCCGAAACAATCTCAAAACATCTTAGAATTCTTTTGATATTGGTCACCTCCACTCTATTTGCATCACAAAACATAATCGTGTCATCCGCGAATTGCAAATGAGTGACTCTAAGGCCATTAGAACCCACCTCGGCCCCTTCAATTAGGTCTAACTCCTTACCTCTACTCAGTAAAATATTGAGGCCCTCTGTTACAATGTTGAATAAGAATGGTGACAGCAGATCTCCTTGTCTGAGACCTCTTTGTGGACAAAACTCAGATGTTGGTGACCCATTTACTAGGACAGAGATCTTGGCAGAGGAAACACAAGCTTTCATCCATCTAACCCACCTAGAACCAAAGCCAAACTTTGACAACATATCAAATAAAAATTCCCAATTAATCGAGTCATAGGCCTTTTCAAAATCCAACTTGAGCACCAAACCTTTTCGGTTAGATCTCTTCCACCCATCCACTACTTCATTAGCTATCAGAATTCCATCTAAAATATTCCTTCCCCCCAAAAAAGCTGACTGGGCCTCACCAATAATCTTGGGCATCACCTTTTTCAATCTGTTAGCTAACACCTTAGCTAAGATTTTGTACAAAGATCCAATCAAGCTAATAGGCCTATATTCATTCAAGCAAGAAGGGCTTGAAACTTTTGGAATTAGGGCGATAAAAGAGCTATTAATTCCACCAACCAGACTAGCATTCTGATGGAACTCACTCATAAACTATAACACATCAACCCGCACTATTTGCCAACATTTCTTAAAGAAGGACATGTTGAACCCATCAGGCCCAGGAGCCTTATTACCATAACAACACTTTATAGCATTTTGGATCTCCTCCTCTGTAAAACCTGCCTCCAATTGTGCCACAATTTGAGCTCCTCCTATACTTTTAAAAGGGCCAGACAATTTGGGACAGACTTTCCAATCTTCCGAAAATAGCCTCATAAAATGAACTTGAACTACATCCCTAATTTCCGAAGGCTCTTCAAGCAACATACCATTCATTGGTAATGAACATAGAGAATTCCTACTATTCCTGCTACATGCCATTATATGGAAGAACTTAGTATTTTTATCCCCTTTAGCCGCCCAAGTCAATCGAGATTTTTGTAACCAAATCCATTCCAACATTTTACTTAACTTCCAAACTTCACCCCTCACTTCCTTTCTTCTAATCAATTCTGTATCAAGTAATGGTCTCTCCTCAGCTAACAAATCTAGCGAATGAGCCTCATCTTCCACACTTTTCAGTTTTAATTCAATCTTACCAAACACCTCCACATTCCACTTCTTAAGAGCCTGTTTCAGTACTTTAAACTTCATAAGACACTTGTATCCTGCCCACCCTGTCACACCAAGTTCTGACCAACTTTGTTGAACAAAGGAAATGAATTTTGGATGTAAAAACCAAGCATTAAGAAACTTGAAGGGTTTAGGACCCCAGTCCCTCTCATCCTCCATTAAGATAATAGGACAGTGATCAGACAACAATCTAGGAAGTCCCCAAAGTTTGAAGGAAAAATTCTGCACCCATTCATAATTAAGCAAAAATCTATCAATTTTGCTCCATTTCTCCCTTGCTTGAGAATTACACCATGTAAACTTCCTCCCTAACAAAGGCATATCTATCAGCTCTAATTGATCAATCATATTATTAAAATCCCTCATTCCTCTATCCCTTCTTGAGCACCCTATCCTTTCTGAAATACTCCTGATTTCATTAAAGTCCCCCCCCAGACACCATGGCCCCAGAAAACTGGCTTTCAAACCTTACTAAAGAGTCCCACATCTCTTTCCTTTTGCCCACCTTATTAGGCCCATACACATTTATGATAACACAATCAAAACTAGAAAATAATGTACTTGATAATAGGATGAAATTTTGAGAACTACAACAAGCCTTCAATTGAAATACCTCAGGGTTCCAAATACATAAGAGTCCTCTAGCTCGACCAATCGCATCTACACCCATGAAATAAAAATGATCCCCAGGCCACATAGATCTAACCAAGTCAGAGTCCACTGCTGGCTTCTTAGTTTCTTGAAGTAACACAATATCCACTTTCCTATCTAGAAGGCTTTTCTTGATCCTCCTCATTTTTTCAGGTCTTCCAATCCCTCTCACATTCCATGATTGTATCTTCATAAGAATGAAATTTACTCTTAAACAGCTGGATATAACAGACTAGCTTTTCGCTCCTTCCTTCTTCTTAGCTCGCTGTTGATCTTGAGCTTCCAACTCCTCTAACTTGCTCAGCACCTCCTCTTCTTTATCTTCACATTCTAGGCCCAGTGCTTTACCAATTTGTATAGAAGCCTTTGCCTCCGATAACAATTTCCGACCTCTACTATTTCCACTTGCCATGGATAATGAAATGGTAGCTACAGCTGACCTGAAGACAGCTCCTTTCCTTAAATTCAGAGATGATGCCCCCAATCTCTTGTTCACCCCGAACTTCCCCATAGTTGGCTTTTTCTGAAGCTGAGGTCTTGATACTGATCTGTCTTTTGCCTTCAGTTTCTCCTTGCTAGCTGGGCGAGAGGAAATTTGTAAAGGGTGGGCCGAATAAATAGATGGGCCTTGTGAGTTATAGTGATGAAACTGAACCTGCCCAGCAGAACTATGGGCTAAATCCTCAAATCCTTGTTGAGGATTATTATGATGAGATTGAACCAGCCCATCAAATCTAAGGGCCGACCCAGCTAGACCACCTGCTAATTGGGCCCAATTAAGGTCCACTTCAAGATGAATACCTTGCCGATTACAATCGGACCCACTCAGACTTCTGATACACCCCGAGGTGTATACTTCAGCGTCTACCCTACGCCTAGCACCGTCATCATATTGCTCATAGCTCAACCCTACCCCTGCTGGTTGACTTACGCATACGCCACCTTCCTCAGACCCATCCTTCATCATATCTGTTTCAGCAACAGCAGAGACATCACTCAATCTTTCATCCCCGTCCAGTTCATCTGAGTTAGCAAGTAAGACACTGTTCCCCTCTCCAACCACCTCATCTCTTAAGTCTTCTTTCTTGCGCAGCTGGATGTCCACATCATCATCTTCTACCTCATGTCTACTGTTTATGTCTGTAAGTTGGTCATCTGCAAGTGCCTCTGAAATTTTCTTCCCTACGTTCTTCTATTCAGTGGGTTGAGATGTACACTGATCAAACGTTGATTTAGAAACTATTATTTGTTCCTCACAAACCCTCACTGGGTATATTGTACCTTTGCACTCCAGGTTTATGATATGGTTTATAGACTCCATACTGGACGTGGCTATCTTCACCTTACCACAATGAAGCGAATTAAGCCGAAGTGTATCCTCATCAATGGCGAGCACTGCTCCCCAAGTTTCCCCAATACTACTAAATGTTTTAAAACTCCATAAATTCAACGGGACACCATAGCAACTAAGCCAGACATATCTTTCTTGTTTAATAACCAACCTTTGTCGCCATTCTTGGACTGAATCACACCAATCCTTGAGCCAAACCTGCATTCTCTGAAGTTTGTCCTTCATATCTGCAACTGAGTTGAATGAGAGAACCATGTCTCTTCCACCCCCCCATCTGACCGTTATTTCCCCAAAGCCTCTCCTAACGATGTCCTCCTTAAAAGTATCCATTGATAAGGATGCTTTTAATCTTACTACCACACTTTCATACAACCAACCATTACCTTCCTCATAAGCCTTAATGGTTCGGATTGCATTTGTTTGAGCTCCTCTGCCACTCACAACCTCAGCAAAAGATTTGTTCCTTTGATGGCCAACAGTATGTGTGATATTAGCAGCTATGACTTTTCTGGTCTGTGGTGCTTTGTTTAATCTAGATTGTGGACCAGACTCCTTGCCAAAAACTGCCATCTTAACTTTCAATGCTCTATCATCACACCAAAGCCCATGTGCCTTTTGAACTGCTATGTCTGCTGCTACAGAACAGTTATATCTTACAAACCCAAAGCGAGATCTTGTCATCTTGCGTCTCTTATTTGGGATGAAAACGTCCATGACTATCCCATAATTAGAGAAAATGTTGTATAGCCCTCTGGTCCCCATGGATTCTGGAAGGTTATCCACAAAAATAGAATGTATATTTATAACTGACTTACTGTTCCACTCACGCCGTCCGCCATGCCGACGTACCACTGGTTGCCATCCTCCACCTTCAATCCTTCTTCCATGTTGGTCCGCCATGAATCTCTTGGTTTGGAGGTTGCAAAGCAATAGCAAGAGGAGATGATCCAAAATAAATTACCTTAGAGTGTTTGTTATTGTAATATGTTAAAGTTTGTCGTGTTCCCTTTGTTTTGTGTTAAAGGTGTTATGTAGGTGTTTAATTTGCAACTTGATCTTTTGGGATTTTACTATTACGGGTTGTATATTGTCATTGTCAAGTGATGCCTTACTCGAAAACGAGAGCAACAATTGATTATTATGACTTGTTGTGAGCCATATCTTACGCAAAATAAACATTCCCTTCTTTACAGCCAAGCCAAAAGAGGAAATCCTCTTTCCATCCCCGGCGAATAAAAGCTTAGCTTCATTCGACTCTTTTATCACCTATTGACTCTACAAATCTGTTAAAATACGAGTTACTTACATGAATACTCTTAAATTATCGAGAAACATTATTTTAAATTTTTACATTATAAAAATGTACAAATAGACTCTTTATATTATTAAAAAACATCACTTATAAATTGGATTCCCTAACGGAAGGGGTTAAAATGAAACATGCTAATAATTTTTTTGATGACTGGGTATCCGGATCAACTTACGCGCATTCCGACTAATCCCAAGATCCTTGTAAGTGGGCTCTTCCATGCGGATCGGGCGAATCTCGGGGCATAACTTTCGGGTGTGGCCGCAAGAAATTGATAGCATCTAGTGGGAGTTGAATCTGAGACCTGGAGAGAGCACACCCCCAGGCCCCACCCACTAGGCCAACCATTTGGGATTAATATGCCAATAGTTTAAGGAGTCAATTTATATACTTTTATAGTTTAAGGGAAAAAAATAATACTTTTCAATAGTTTAGGTGTCTATTTGTATGTTTTTATAGTTTAGGGAGTGAAAGTGATATTTTTCAATAGTTTAGGGGTCTTTGTGTAAATAACCTTCAAAATATTAATAAACTTTCAAACAACTAAATCCAATATATTAAAGAGAAAATTGGTGATGAATCCAATTTAAAGAGAGTATGAGTCATTACGTTTAGAAGATATTTTTTTATTAGTGATGTCCACATTTTGTGAAATAATTTGATAATAAATCATTTTGTTGTTTTGGAAGATATGTTATTTTCAATTTTACTCTAAATTTACCCGTAAGAAGTTTGGATTCAACTTCTCCTCTTCTCCTCCAGATTGTTCTTGAGGCTTCTAGATGATCCAAAAGCTACTAAAGAAGATGGTTTTGAATTGAAGTTTTTAGTTGGTCAACAATGGAAGTCATCATGAAGCTTCCTGAACAAGTCCGAAACACGGTGGTTTTGGTGTTATCTCTTCCGTCTCTCATTCTCCTCAGAAACTTATAAATAGGAAGCTCATGTGTTGTATTAGATATAGAAAATATTTGAATTAAAGAGAGATTGTGTTACCTCTCCTTTGTATTTGTTTGTAAGATTTTGTATTTATTTTGAATTCATTTGAGTGAATTAGAATTTGTTTTGTTATTCTTGTACATCTTTGCCTGTGAGTATCATTATTATTTATTTTTCGACAACTTACCTCATATCTGGGTCTTTGAGCACAACATTCAAATCAACACGAACAAATTGTCTCTCCATTGGAATGTTTCTCTGATCTCACACGAGTGAGACTCAAGATCGTAGATTTTGACAGTGAGTGCCAGTGACGCGATGATGTGGTCTGCTGCATCAAGCGATGAAGAAGGAGAACGGAGGAGGGTGTGAGATCTAGCGATGGAGAGAGAAGAGAGAGGAGGTGTGAGTTAGAGAGAGAGAGAGAGAGAGAGAAAGAGAGAGAGGTGACTAGAATGAGGAAAAAAAGACGTGAGAGAGTAAAAGTCGTGAGAGAGGCAAAAGCAGTGGAAGGGTATTTTGGTCATTTTATGATAGTTTGTCCTTGTAGAAAAAATAAATTAGCGCCTAGACTTTTGAGTAAGAAAAATCTGAGATTGGATTTTTCACCCGAATCGCCTATATTAAAATATTAAATTTGATATATATTGATAGATATGATTTACTAGAAATAAGTCTCGTTAAAAGGACTTATAAAATTTTGTTCATTTATATATTTGTTTAATATGATTTATGTATTTTTAAATTTACTGGTTTAATTTTTTTACTTTTGCTAAGCTATCATCCCACTTAAATTATATATTTTTTTTAAAAAAAATAATTTCGTATAAAAAATTGTCCATCAAATGGCACACCTAAATTATGGTCTTGGTGTAATAGGACTTTAAAAATAGAACAAAACAATTATCCACTCTCACCATGGTTTTATTTATTTATTTATTTTTAACTTCAAAAAGTGTGGGGCAACAGATTTAATGAGTTAGGCCATCATTTTCTCCTATAAATAGGATAGCAGGTTGGAGTTAATGGAAACACAAGACAGAAAGCAAGTTAGATCAACTAAGCAAGTAGAAATAAAAAAAAACGAAAGAAAGAAAGAGAGAGGAGAAGAGGAGAGAAAATGGCATTGCCAAGGTTTATTGCTCTCAAATCAGAATTTCAGAAAAAAATACTTGAGCTACATACATGAAGATGTAAAAGCGCACGGCTTTCTTCAATTCTCAGGAGAGGAGGTTGTGAGCCAATACACAAAGTACCAAGTCGAAATGGCAAAATGTGGGAACGGACTAGTGCACATAAGATGTTGTTACAACAACAAATACTGGGTAAGCCTTTGTTTTCATTATTTTTTATTTATTTTTTGTTTTGTTTTTGGTGCTAACAATCTACGATCTTTTTGTGCCAACAATCTAGTGAGGTTAAAATTGTTTTGCTTTTGGTGCTGTCTGGACCTTAAACTTTTATGGATAATTTATATTAGTAGTTTTTATATTTTGTAGTTTGTATTATTTTAGTTTTTACATTTTGAATTGACTCAATTTTGATT